AAGTAAGGATGGTCTCTGCGTGGGGATCTAGCTCTATGTCAATGTATATTTCGCTGTGGTAATGAGAATTCTTTTTGCAAAGATGTGTTTCCTAGATTCTTACTCGAGCCACTACCCGCTTTATTGGCTTTTGAGTAGCTTTGAAATTGTTTCTTTTGTGCCCACTACACAATCCATGCATAAGGTGATCATGTCCAAGGATTACCCATGGACACAGACTACCGAAGCCAACAAAATGACATGCACGACCGTAGCAATTTGCCAATTCTTGCAAGGATTCGCTGTGGGATCTCTACTGGTACGATACCACGGGTGTGGTTCCGCCCCGAATCCAACGCATAGTGTTGGGTTATGGCTTGAGCCTTTGTTTGCATTTAATAAAAAATAAAAATGGGATGCATTTGCTTAGCTGTATCATGTTACCGACTTTGTGAACAATCTTCGTAATTACGATTAGGGTTGATATGGTACCGCATTTGTCATCAAAACTGAAGTTGTTGACGGAAAGGTTATCTCGTAAAGAGTCCGAGTGATTAAACTGACTGGGATGGAACCCTGCTTGGCTCCAGTCGAAATGGAAGGCTCTTGCACCTTTTCCGATTATCAGGACAGGTTTGTTTGGCACGATGCCACGGCCGTAGCCGTGGTTTCGGACGGCATGTGGCTGGATTGCGAAGTGGGAGTTTGGTTTAATTGCAGTAAAGATAAAGTAGGGTATCTGGTAATTACGGTGACCGAAGAAGTGAGGGGCAGCTTGTTTAAAAAGTCCTCGAAGCGTGCGACAGTCCCAAATGGGTCTATGACTTCTCTTCAGCCCATTACCAATTACCGGCATAAACGCTCACCGAGATGCTCGTTATCGGAGCAGGGTTTCTTGCATTGTCAGTTATTAGCTCTGATATAGACTGCGCCTTTCGTGGGATCCCCGGATTAAGAGCCTGTCACATATTTTGTGCGCATATGTGACTTCATAGTAGGACTATCCGTAGTAGTTACCACGAGAAAAGCAGCAGCTGACCACTAGCTCATTTTAAAAAACCCACTTTCAATATAACTCAGCTAACGCTGTGCTCTTATTGTACGATTTATGTAACGTACTAAGGCGAAGCAGAAGTAAATGTCGATGCTCTACGCTCTATCACCATTGATACGCAAAACGCCATTGGTTTCAAAATGATAGAAAATATTATGGAGTAAAAATGACGACAACAATCCCAAATCCATTAACAAGCCCATTATATCACTAAAAATGTTCAGGCAGTCCCGGCGAGAAACAAACCTGATCATGTCCCAATAATCGGAAAAGGTGCGAGAGCCTTCCATTCCGACTGGAACCAATCATCGTTCCATCCCAGTCAATTTAATCGCTCGGACTCTTTACGAGATAACCTTTCCGTCAACAAGTTCAGTTTTGATGACAAATTCGATACTATATCGACACTAATCGTAATTACGAAGATTGCTTACAAAGTCGGTAACACGACACAGCTAAGCAAATGCATACCATTTTTGTTTTTATTGAATGCAGTCAGCGGCTCCAACTCATTCACCCTTACCCTAATCTTGCCGTCACCCAAAACTGCGCGTTTCGGATTTGGAGCTGGGCCACAGGAGAGGTGGTCGTTTGGCGCGATGAGCGGGGTCGCGCCAAACGACATACACCTGGGCCACAGCCCCGGGATCGTACCAATAGAGATCCCGCAGCGAATCCCTGCAAGAGTTGGCAAATTGCCACGGACGGGCCTATAGATTTTGTTGGCTTCCGGACAACCCTAAGAGGTTACTGAAGTAAGCGTCGAATTAAGTACCTTCCATGAAAGTTATTGCAATTGTTCATGTAAAAGTAAAACTAATGATCCAGCTCTCAGCTCGCTTTCACTCTTTCAGCTCGACTTTGAACGACTTTCAATAAATCTTGGCATCGTGTCAGTCTCAGTATGAAGCTATGGTATAGCCTCGGCCAAAAAAAAAAAAACAGATTTTTTGACATCTGTAGGTTGTACTTGAGCTAACTGAAGTCTGAAATGGTGCATGATTGGTTGAATCTGAAATACTTTTTGGCTTCCAGGTCCTGACGAAGGCGATAACCCCGAAACGTTGACTGAATAAAGAGCTGTACCATCTTGGCCGAGGCTATACCACACCTTCATACCATGTTCAGTTCATCAAAACCCTGAAAGCCCTGAACTGAACCAGCTTGCGAAAATAATGCTGAAACCTGGGTGGTTACAGCACCGCTGTCAATCGCTCACGGAGTGACTCAGCGTTGTTGTTGTTTTCTCTGCTCCCTCTTCAATAAGCATCTCACCTGCAGGAGGATAGAGCGCAAACGGAAGAGCTGCCTATCACTCACTGCTTACAACCGCAATACAAACTGTTGGTTCCAGATTTGATTCTATGGCTGTTCTTAGGGTTTACTAACATAAAGAATAAGTTTAGAATACTGACAAGCATAGATTTTCTGTAATACCACCGTTACTTTGCTATGCCAGGATTGTAAGCAGTTGTTTTGTAGACACTGCAACGAATATAAGTCCTTCACATCTTTCTGTGTAAAACTGTCCACCCATTAGCACTCCTTGGCGGACTACACATCCCACTTATCCCTCGCTTTCTATTCCTCTATATCCAAATATCAATTCAAATGGTCTTCCTTTCTAATCCGTGTTCACATGTCCATTCCTGGAGAGCGCCCAGGAGGAGAGTACGGACAGCGAGCACACACGCCCTCCTTCAGCTGGCAGACACGACACGCAGGGACCGCTTCTTCGTCTGAATCTCTCAGCGTCGAAAATTCGGTTGACAACAGCCTTGTAACCAAACCGGGATACGGCCCCCTGCCAACAGAAGTCTCACCGCGAATGTCAGCAGAAGTTGGCAAAATGCCATGGACGGGACCCGTAGATTCAGTTGGCTTGCTCAGCGCCTCCGATCCTTCCCGCCCTTTACATTGCCACCCAATCAGAAATACTAGAAACAAAAAATAAGAGAAAGAAATCTACCCACCTTCAGCTATTAAACTATCTACTCGTAAACGTATCGATCCTATTTGTACAGTAGTACCGATGAACGAATGAAGCAAAGACGACGAGCTCTCGCCTTGGATTAGCGTGAGAGCATCACGAAATAATCCCGACATGGTTTGACTGGTCAACAAATAACGTCGCCTTGTGACGTATGAAAAGCTGGCTGATAGATGGCCACTACCTCTCTGAATTGAACAAGTTTTAAAACAATAACAAAGGAAATTTTACGATGAGAAAAAGGCGTCTTCACAATGAGCTTGCGCTAGCACATCTTGACCCTCGACGATCGCATCTAAAAATATAGGGGGCTCTCCGGCGCGTGTCGCTCGCGCACCTCTTGGCAAATTGCAAAAAGTGGTATAATCTCTTCTACTGGAAGTATTTTGCTACTGATTGCTACAAGAATGCATGGGAAACACTGTTGTGATCATCTCACTGTTACTGCCTAATGATTGTTTATGGTGCTGTGAAGCTGACTTGCTTAGGAGTTTGTTCGTGTTCCTAAGCTCTTCACTCTTACAGATTTTTTCAGCATTAGTGTCCTATTTGTATGGGTAAGTTGGTCTACCTCCTCTACCCCAATGCCATAAGAGCAGCTTTTAAAACCTTGTAGGATAGTAGAAATGATTGCGGATAACTTTGATTATCCCAAAGACTATCGTAGGATTTGCAAAATACCATGGATGAGGCCCATGCGATGAAGCCGTTCAAATAAGCCTATGAAATGAAGAAATGATATTGCAAGGCGGATCGAAGCTACGAGATGAGTGTGTGTGGGATGACGAGGATAGGTGGACGAATGGGATTGGATTCATGTAGATCATGGCCTCCATACTCATTTTATCTCGCTTTTCCGAATTCCATTAGTTGAGGGGACCAATTATATTGTTTCATTCCAACAAAAAAAAAACCATGTTTTTGCCTTTTGGGACCATAAGTACATACATATTCTCCGCCTTTTGGAAACATGACATCAGTACAAGAGGTAAAATGGTAGCAAACACGACAGTTAGGTGTGAGGAAATCGCTAGATCTCTATGGAAGGGCAAGTGGCCTTATTTTCGAAGTGAAGGTAGGGGGTTTTCAATACTTCCGTTTGTTAAAGCCTCTACGACACTCGAAAACGATGGAAGCAGAGTCAGGGGTCCTATATCTATTCCTATTGTGGTGGTTCAATCTCCAATCTTCTTCAAATTAAAACCGAGGAACCTACTTCTACTTCTGGAGGAGCCTGTATAAGCATGAACATTTGCAAGTGGCATTTAATGTGCAAAAATGCATTAACTATAGTGAATATATGGAGGTCACTGAATAGGGAGAGGGATTGCCTCAACTAGTGAAGAGCTTAGGAATGTAAATACGCTCCTGACCGAGCCGCAATACTAAGCAATAACAGTGAAATGATCACAAGAAAGTGTTTCCCATGCATTCTAGTTGAAATCAGTAGCAAAATACTTCCAGCTGAGGAGAGTAAACCACGCACGCCCAGCACGCCTAAGGCCCTGCTCACTCTTGTTATTTTTTCCTAGCCTCTGCGCCTCAATTGAATCAAGTTATGAATTCATCTGAAAAGCACGTCCATTCTGAGAACACAGCATGTGGGTCTCCTCGTTCGGTTTGTTGACCCAATCCTCACCTTTGAACATTTTTTCCCGATGTCTGGACCTTTTTCGAAGCCAAAATAAGACGTTTGGCTATTCGCACCGAAGATTCCGGCACTCGCCCAGCCTCCTGTGGAAGGAGCTCCGCAGAGCTCATATGTGCTCTGTTAACTTCGTCCTATGCTTCATCCCTTCCAAACTTGACCCCATCTCTACAGTTGCTTCTTCAGGTGATGCCGAAATTTGCGACGACAAACAGACAGACAAACAAATAGATAAACAAACAGACACCAATTTGTGCTTTATCTCTACTATATATAATCCACAAGTTTGGTGTGTCTGTTTGTTTGTTTGTTTGTTTGTTTGTTTGTNCATGACATCAGTACAAGAGGTAAAATGGTAGCAAACACGACAGTTAGGTGTGAGGAAATCGCTAGATCTCTATGGAAGGGCAAGTGGCCTTATTTTCGAAGTGAAGATAGGGGATTTTCAATACTTCCGTTTGTTGAAGCCTCTACGACACTCGAAAACGATGGAAGCAGAGTCAGGGGTCGTATATCTATTCCTATTGTGGTGGTTCAATCTCCAATCTTCTTCAAATTAAAACCGAGGAACCTACTTTTACTTCTGGAGGAGCCTGTATAAGCATGAACATTTGCAAGTGGCATTTAATGTGCAAAAATGCATTAACTATAGTGAATATATGGAGGTCACTGAATAGGGAGAGGGATTGCCGCAACCAGTGAAGAGATTAGGAATATAAATGAACTCCTAACCGAGCCGGAATATTAAGTGTCTGTCCCGTGGGACGAGACAGTTCCTTTCTTGGAAATTTTTAATCCTCGAAAAAATAAGTGATTACAATCATAAACATTCGAAAACAAACGGTACCTCCAGCAGTATTCAAAGTTTGCCCAAGATTTGTGGCTACCAGGGGTAACTCCGAATTTGCCGGAGATAAATTTGAATTAGGGGTATATAAAAAGGATCTCTGACAGTATTATAACCTTGCGTCTATTTTTGTCGTCAAGAGTGTCCCGGATATCGAAATGGAAGGCTTCAACGAAAGTTTTGACAACTGGCTGCTCGGCAGCGACGATGATGCTGCAGGTGGTTTAGACGGCGACGATATGGTACCTGCGGTTGTTCTTGACACTGACAATTCTGACACCGAAATCTCAAATGACGACTACGATAGGAGCAGAGAACATTGGGTGAACGATGCTTGAAGGTATGATAGATGGACCTTTTCGGAGCCTGTTGGAACCGATCCAGAGGTGAATAAGTGCGACACGCATCTCCAATTTTATGAGCTGTTTGTCTCTGAAGAACTACTTGCTCCGACTGCTATAGTTCGATCTCTGCAACATCAGGCAGGTCGACCG